TGTCAGGATGGACCAGTCGCTGGAGAAGGATATCATGTTTGGTAAAGTGGAGGGTCAGAGAAAAAGAGGAAGACTCCCAATGAAATGGATTGGTCAAGTGGCAGCACGATGGACTCAAGCGTGGCAACAGTAGTGAGGTTGGCCCAGGATCAGGCAGTGTTTTGTTCTGCTGTGCATAAGGTCGCTATGGGTCGGTACCTACTCGATGGCACCTAAGAACAACAACAATAATTCTCTGTGAGAATGAAAGTAGTAGAATCAATATCTGATGAAAGACATTAGTCATCTGTAAAAGGAGCCATCCCCTAAAAGATGTAACTGACTCTACCTGGAACAAGGTTATTGGACATATAAAGTATCATAAAAAATATTAAGCCAAATCAATTTTATTGAAACATGTCTGAAGATATGTTGTTAGAAGGGAGTGGGTCGGTCTTCATGCAGGAAGGAGAGCCTAAAGAACAAAATATTAAACATGCTCTTGCAGTAGAATTCACAGAAGTGAAACTTGGAATCTGGCCAACACTAGAGAGGTATACTTACTTGTGAGTAGGGATAATGCAACAGAACAGTGTCTGCCTGCACAAAGTAGCCACTCAGTGAATATTTGCAGCATGAATGAAGACTGAACTCTCCTTCAAGGCTCCCTAACTTCTCCTCTAACTCCATGACTAATTCAGAGCCTGTGATGCTTGGAAAGGGCATCTGATCTAACTGACATGAATATTTCATTTACCAGCAAAACTAATCCTCCACTAGCTCTCTAGTTTTCACATAAGTCCTAGGAACATTGTTAAGCTGAGTTACTCCCAAAACCTCTGGATACAGTTAAGTTTTGAGACCTGTACAATTTAGGCCCAAACACAGGAGCATGGTGGTCCCAACAAAACTATCTTGTGAGTCTGTCTGCAAGGCTAGTCTTGTCCCCTAAATAGTTCTGACTCCAACCCAGGTGTCTTACCTATACGTAATACCTTTGTACCAAACCACTTTCACTAGTTCAGAATAGGAATATTCTTCATCAAACTGACCGTGTAAAGATGAATCACAGAAATTCCACCTATGAAGGATAAAATACAAACTGTTAATTCTGGATGATCTTTGTAAGTCAACACAAGAGCACCACTATAACCTTCTAAGTCAACACAAGAGCACTACTGTAACAAGATTTCTTAACTTTTTAAAAGTGAAAATACAAAAATGTGGTAATCATTTTAGAATAAGTTTTATTTTTCCATTTATTTTTCAATATTCCCAATAATCTATATACTATAGGCACTGGAGATACAACACTCAAAAAAGGAGGCATGGTCCCTGCCCTCAATGGAGATGCCTATGAAATATTGAATAATAAGCATTAGAACGGAGGTGTACTGGATGCTGTAAAAAAGACCTAAATCTGTCTAGGTATCTGGAGTAACAACCTTACAGAAGTGAGGATTAAACTAAGATCTGAAAATGAGAACAAGTTGCCAGCTGAGAGAGAGAGAAAAAAAAAAGTGAGAGAAAGAGCATGTACAAAGATGAAGGAGTACAGGAATGGTTAAGGAATTTCAAGGAGTCCTGGTGTGGCGCTGTGGGTTAATGCGCCAGACTGCACAGCCGTTTGAACTGCAAGGCCGGCGGTTCAAGCTCGTCTAGCCACTCCTCGGAAACCCTATACAGGGTCGCGGGTCGCTATGGGTCGGGATCGACTCGACAACAGGGCAAGAGCAGTGAGAGAGTTGAGGACAACAGAGCCTTGAAGGGACCAGATCATAGAAAACTGGTAAGCATATGGATTTCAACTCAAGGTCATTGGTGGTTGTTGTTACATGCCGTGGATGTTAAGTGCCATCGAATCGGTTCCGACTCATAGCGACCCTGGACAGGGTTTTATCTTTACGGGAGCAGAAAGCCTCATCTTTCTCCCGCAGAGCAGCTGGTAGTTTCGAACTGCTGACCTTGAGGTTCGCAGCCCGATTCGTAACCACTAGCTACCAGAACTCCTTATAGGCCAGTGGTTAAGTTACTGAAAATTGTTAATTTAGAAACATAAATCTCTCTCTCTCTTTTTTTTTATTTTTTAGAGCATATTTAATTAGAGATTTGAGAACTAACGTATTTGATAACAGCTCTAGGACTATGCTGCATTCATACAAATGGCTTCAAATACTGTTGATATTTAATCTAGAATTCAATGTTGCTTTAATACAATGTTGATCGTGGTAAAACCAAATTTCATTTTTTATTTCCCACGTATCTGCAAACTGAAATGTTCCTTTTTTCCTGGATTTTTCAACACCAGCAATTCACAACAGACAAGTAAACTTCTTGGTGCTAGTCAGAAAGCTAACTTCTTAGGAAGGAATATCACAGCAAAGTGACCTCCCTTCAGTGGGCAGACAGCGACCCCTCAGTTAACATGACACTGCCAGTAAATTTGACAGGTCCATTAGGTTTTCATCAATCCCCAGGATACTAACATAGTCAGGTTTTAAACAAGGGATTTTTCAGCAATTCTGAATGATTTGGAATTTTCTTTTGCACCTTGGCACAGCCGCAAAACTTCAATATGCCATGGCGAGATACTGCCATTGTTCATATGGGGGTGGGAGGATCGTCAATACTCCAGTGACGAAGCCTTGAAAAACACCTGGCGATCTGCTTCCCAAGGTCATGAAGCAGTTCTGCTCTGCACGTGTACATGGAGTCGCCATGAGTCGAAATTGACTTGATAGCAACAGGCAGGAAAATTTGGGCATTTTTCTGACCGCTCAGAGTTTGCACCAGCCGGCAATCTGAATCCAGCTTCCAGGCGACATTCAGCACTTGGGGCCTCTTCACGCCACCTAAACCTGCAGCCATTACGCCAACTGCGCGTTTCCATGTAGACGCCATCGGTACACAGGGCGCCACTTTAAAATCTCTAAATTGTCTCACAGTAAGGCAGTCCTCAGCCTCAACCCGCACAACCCAGCGTCATCTCACGTTCAGCTCTTCGCCTCGAGGCCTACTCACCAAAAAGCTGAATCTCTTTTGATGAGCATTCATACTAATGAAACTTCCAAGTTTTAACTAAATCAATATTGTTGTTGTTGTTGTTGTTAAGTGCCATCGAGTTAGCTATAATTCATAGCGACTCTGTATAGGGTTTCCAATGAGTGGCTGGTGAGCTTGAACCGCCGGCCTTGCAGTCTAATGTATTAATCCGCAGCACCACACCAGGACTCCAAATCAACATTAAAAGCCAGAAAAATCATTCCCATATTCTCTTTAAAGCAACAGATTACGTAACCCAGAGACTGCCTGAAATCAAATTCCAGTTCTACATGTACTTGCTGTCTGATCTTGGTTACACTTAGATGTCTCAAATTCCTTATCTACAAAATGGGATTACAGAACTTCTTGGGATTAATATGAGGATGAACTAGATAAAAGACTCACCACAATGCATGGCACATAATTTTGTAAGCATTACTGCTTTACTTATGAAAACTGACTGCTTTAAATCTCTGGCTAGTTGGTTATTCATCTCCTCTTGTTGTTGTTGATATTAAATGTCATCAACTCAATTCGAACTCATTACAACCCTGGGTAGGGTTTCCAAGGAGCAGCTGGTGGGTTTGAACCACCAACCTTGCAGCTCAAACTGACCTTGTGGTCAAGTGCTTATCTTACAGTGCCAGTTATTGTTATTAAGTGTCATCAAATAGATTCTGACTCATAGTGACCATGTCTAAGGTTTCCAAGGAGCAGCTGGTGGGTTTGAACCTCTGGCCTTGCAGTTAGCACCCCAGTGCTTATCCAACAGTACCAGGACTCAACCTAGTGCTCTATCCTAGCCATTCGGATGTCCATGTTTACCCTCAAAGGCAAAGGCAGCCTCTGAGGCTAGGAATGGAAGAACCATGAACATAAATCTGTGGAATTCACACTCTAGCAACCAAGGTATGCGCTCTAGTCAGCTGCAGCACATGCTCCCAGAGCCCTGTGAGGATCTCTGTGCCATCACTGACCACACTGTAATCATTTTGTCAGGGCAATGACCTCACTATCACTAGACTCTCGGCTCCTAGAAAGCAGGCACTATGTCTTAGTATCTCTCCAGTCTCTGTGCCTAACTAAGTAGATACTGGATAGCCGGCCTTCTGCAAACACTCAATGCAGGAACACAAAATAAGAAACATAATCAATACATGTCCAAGGGAACTTATTTTCTATTAGTTGTAAGTAGAGTTTTCGATCAATGGAGTGAACTTTCCTTAAAAATGACATCAGATGATTTAGAAAAAAAATTATTCTTATGTAAAGACTAGTCTTGACAAAAGCTTTATGAAAAATAAATCATTTTTCCATTACCTGTGCAGGTGTGGGACAGGACAGTTGAGTGGCAGGGCCCTGGGAAGAACAGAAACCTCTTCTCCTCTTTCCTCTGAAACACCAGGAGTCACAATTCTATCTTGGGTGATATCTGCATCAATTTTAGACCGTTCTCTGATTTTATTATGAAAATTAAGTGCTAACGACAAAGGATATTTCCATTCCTCTGGACATGAGGCCACAGACCAACACTGATGTACCCATGCATATTCACTAGTGTGTTTCGTACCAAGCAAAGGCAGCTCCTCTTTCATTCCACTTTCACAACTCTTCTTCTCTGAAGGTTCTTTGGATTTCATGATAGGACAACAAAGTTGAATTTCTTTATTATTTGGTTTCTGTCCTGATAAACTTCCAAAAGTACAGTTTTTGTCTGTTTTCTCAACTTGTTTGCCTCTCTGAGCTTGATCCTTTTTTTCTGACGATACTATAGATGAATCTAGCTTCTGGCTAACTTTACACAAATAATGTACTGTAAATTCATGCCGAGCTTTGGGTAGGCAAAGGTATGCATACCCATCTAAAGATGCTATCTTCACGGTGCCATTATCCAGATATATCATGGTATCATCGATCTCTAGACAGGGCCATCTCACTTCCGAAATGTCAATGAAGACTCGCTAAATTGAGGGGGGAAAAGACATGAGCATTTTCTATAAACAATTTTCCCACATATTTGATACTTAAATATTATGCAAGAAAGCTCTTAAAATTCTGTTAGTACGCTACCACCAAAAGAAATGAAAAATGACCCAGGTGTCAACCTACACGTGGTCTTTTTACAGAATACTGGATAGTGTTACAATTCTCTCTCCTAGAAAAAGAGAAACAAAACATGTACATACATGCACTAAATATAGAAGAAAAAAAAAATACTGACTATATTTAGTATTAGATTAAGTATATTTTGGGTTAAAATGTACAATAAACCACAGGTCAATGAGTTCCATGGGTCCTTCAAAAGTCTGTTCTATATGGGGCCTTAGATGGAATCCTAAGCCCCACCCAGAAACTTCTGAGGTGGAAGAAGATATTGAAAGAAAAACCAGCAGGGGAAAAAAACAACAACAAAAAAAACAGACTGTTTGGCTGTTACAAGATCAAGCAAGCTATTCGCCTTGCGGCCATCATGGCAAGAAAAATTGGCCCATCAGGGTCAACCCCCTTCTAAGCCTGAAACTCAAAACAGTCTTGTATGCTCAGTGGTGACTACCCTGGTCTACTTGTGAGTGGAAGTCAGGGAAAGGAGCAGCAAAGTTTGGCCATGTTCCATGGATACTGCTTGACCTTGAAATGAGAGAGAGAAGAGAAAATGGCTGACTGGTCTGAAGTTCAGGGTGACGTGTGAACTCCCGAGCCTATTGTGTTAGAGTTGAGAATAAAGTGGCCAGGTGGTCTGAAGTAGCCAGGTGGTCAGAAGTTGGAGGAGGTGTATGAGAACTCCCAAATGTAAAGATAGTACCATTTGATCTAGTTTGGAGGCTTGCTGATCAAAATTCAACCAGATGAAGACAAAGAAGATTTGATACAGGAGCAAGCGTACATTGCTATAATATGATGAACCAGACCTTTGCTCATAGACCTTGTTGTTGTTAGGTGCCATCGAGTCAGTACCAACTCATAGCGACCCTATGCACAACAGAACAAAACACTGCCCGGTCCTGGGCCAACCTCACAATTATTACCATGCTTGAGTCCATTGATGCGGCCACTTTGCCAATCCATCTCTCTGACCCTTCACCTTACCAAACATGATATCCTTACATTCTATGTTCCAATTATTAACGGATGTTTATAGCTGTTTCTCTTCATTTTGAGTTGTGCCCCATCAGCAAATTAAGGTCCTGCAGCTTGTTCCAACCTGAGGGGCTCATTCTCTGGCACTGTATCTGTCAGTGTTTCTCTGTTATTCATAAGGTTTCAGTGATTAAATATTTGGAAGTAGATCGTCACTCCTTCTTCCTAGTCTGTCTTTGTCTGGAAGCTCATCTGAAACCTGTCCACCATAGGTGACCCTGATGGTATTTAAAATATCCTTGGCATAGCCTCCAGAATCACAGAAACTCACAAGCTACCATAGTATGGCAAACTGACAGATGAGTGGTAGGCTTATAGATATAGTTGCTCAAAATTCTAATCAAAAGGAAAGGATTCTTCATATCAAGGCTCAAGCTTGCCTCCTCAGTACACTGGGTTGATAGGGATGGGCAACTTAGGCTATCAAAATGGGGGGGGGATATAAATGCACAAGGTGTCTATCTACCTTATAAACTTTCAGGAGTGTGGTTAGGTTCAGAATGAGGGGAGTAATATAGAATACCCACTGAGTAGTTGTCATCTTGTCCACATGAGTCTAGTGAAAGGAGATAGAGGAGGATGGGGATAGGATTTTATGATTTAATAGTAAGTAATTGTTATCAGGACTAATTGCAATGGTCACAACTGTAAATGTAGAAGATGTCAAACTAAAAGGGGAGCGTAGTTAATCTTTCATTTCAGGAACAGAGAACCGTAGGGCCATCAAGAGAGAAGAGCATGAGTGGAGCAAGGAATTCTAATCAGAAAAGCGGCAACTACAGAGAGGGAGGAGGCAATGGCACAGAGAAATAGAGCAGGCTGAGGATTCTAGGCCCATGGAATGAGAAAGGATGTCGGCCTACGGGCAGGAGGCTGGCTTGCAAATTGTGTCCTTTGGATGTTTAAACAAATACATATTTTCTGTGTGGTATGTGTACATCAAAAAAAAAAGGGAATAGAGGTAAATACTGTTAACTGGTGGTGAATGGAGAGGACTGTAATCATTGCAATGAAACAAAATATGGTTTGTTGAATGTAAACTTTCACTCAATTCACAATAAAAGCTTTAAAAAAGGTCTCAGAATAATAGAAATGAAGGAGGCTGTAGTATTCAAAGCAAATATAGCTGAAATGTTGTAAAACTATACAAAAATATCATTGACTAAACATCTCAGAGAATACAGAGAAAGATAATCACATCTTTAAATACCATGTGTGATAAAATAAGCTTTGCAAAGCAGTGGGGATAGAGATAATTATTTACTAAATAGTAGTGGAATTGCTCAATTACATTAGGGAAATGCTCTCAGAGGATGATCATGTGGATTAAATAGGATAACTAACAGAAAGTACTTATCCTAGATAGCATCTGGTACACCATACACCAAAATAAATTCCAGATGGATTCAAGAGTAACATTTGAAAAAGTTAAATTACTAAAAATAAAACTGATCCTTAAAAGAGGGGAAATAATGTTACGGAGCTTGACTTCTTTGTGGATATTGGGCTACCTGCTTACTAATGGAATATAGATATTTAAGTGCGATACAAAGGAATATTGGGGTAGATGATCACAGAAAGCTTGTAAACACGTCATCAGCCTACAGCTGATTATCTAAAAGTGAACTAGAATGTGCCCAGGGAGACAGGCTTCTTGTTAAGCTTTTATGGAATATGGGGCCTTAAATGGAATCTTGAGTCCCACTCAGAACCTTCATATGTGGGACATTTCCAATTGAAAACACCTGCAGAAATGCAGACCAACCTAGAGGAAGATGATACACTTGAAGCAAAGAGGGGAGGTTAAAAAACAACAACAACAAACAGACTGTTTGGCTGTTACAAGATCAAGCAAGCTGTTTGACCTGGAGCCATCAAGGCAAGAAAAGTAAGCCCACCAAAGTAAACCTCTTTCTAAGACTGAAACTCATAGGGAACACGCAAACAGTCTTATATGCTCGATAGTGACCATCCTAGTCAACATGTGAGTGGAAGGGGGAGAAATGCAGCAAAGAAGACATGGACTGAGACTGGCCATATACCATAGACATCTGATGACCTTGAGATTAGAGGGAGAAGAGGATAGGCATGCGGGTTTGAAGTTCAGAAAGATATGTGAACTCACAAGCCCAAGCATACTGACCAGGCCACTGGGGACTAGAGTTAAGAGTGAAGCCACCAGCTGGTCTGAAGAGTGGAGAGGAATGCGAGAACTCCCAAATTTGCAGGCAGTACCCATTTGATCACTGTGGGTTAATGCATCAGACTACAAAGCCATTTGAACTTCAAGGTTGGCGGTTCAAGCTCACAGCTGCTCCTTGGAAACCCTATACAGTGTCGCTATGGGTCGGGAATCAATTCAATGGCACTTGACAACAACAACCCATTTGATCAAGCTTGGATGGCTTGCTGACCAGAATTCGACCAGATGAAAATAAAGAAGTATGAAACAGGGAGCAAGCATAAATTGCTCCAGCCTGATCAACTGGACTTTTGCTTATGGATGAAGCTGCCCAAAATTCCAACTGAATAGGGAAGGATCCTTCTTATCAAGGATCAAGCACACCTCCTCAGTACACTGGATTGGTAGGGACGGGCAACTTAGACTTTGGCTATCAAAATTGGGGCACTATAAAGGCAAGAAGTGGCTGGCTTATAAGTTTTCATGAGGGTGCTTAGCATCAGAATGAAGGGAGTTAGACAGAAACCCTACTGAATAGTTTTCCTCTTGTCCAGATGGTTCTGGTGATCAGGAGAATAGAACTTAATGATTCAGTTGCGAGTAATTTTTATCAGATCTAAGGGTGATTGTCACACCTGTAAATATAGAAGAGGTACAACTAAAAGTGGGGAACAGTTAATCTGTCATTTCAGGAACAGAGGACCCTAGTACCATCAGAAGAGAAGAGCATGTAAGTAATGAGGGATCCTAACCAGAAAAGTGGCAACAATGGCAATGGTAGTAGAGACCATGACATAGAGAGACAGAGCAGCAGAAGGCTCAGGCCCATGGACTGAGAAAGGCAGTGTGCCTGTGGGCAGGAAGCTGGCTTGCAAAATGTGCCCTTTGGACATCTAAACGAATATATATTTTCAATGTGGTGTACGTACACCCAAAATAAAAAGGTAATAGAGGTAAATATTGTTGACTAAGGGTGCATTAAGGGGATTGTAATCATTACAATGATTTGCTGAATGTAAAACTAATGATCTGCTCTGTAAGCCTTCACTCATTAATATACAATAAAAGCTTAAACACACACACAAAACTGATTCTGACCAATAGCATATAGACTTGCAATAGGAATTGCCCACTTCTTTTGTATTTTCTACATATAAGATAAAAATAGTAGGTGTTCTCAAACTGAAATCATCCCCTGAAGCCATCTTGTAGCAAAACAGCAGAGGCACACAATTTAAAGAATAGTACTTATAAGAATGGTGTTCCTCTGTATAAGACCAAAAGGGAGGCTCAATACACTGTGGGCTAGCATTAGGGATGCTAAATGCAAGGTCAGTGGTTCAAAACCACCAGGCACTCTGCAGGAGAAAGATAAACTTGTCTCCCTCCATAAAGATCTACAGTCTCAGAGACCCTATATAGGGTAGTTATGATTTGTAATCGACTTAATGGCAGTAAGTATAAGGCCAAGAAATAAATATTTACAAGTTGAGACAATATGGGGGAAGGGTAACTTGAGCACTGGAAGTGGAACAACCACAACACAATTAAAAAGAATGTTGATACACTGTGAAAAATGAAACAATGCCACTGAACAATTTGTGTTAAAATTATCAAATGAGAACATAACTTGTTATGTAAACTTTCACCAAACACCATATGAAATATATTTTTTAAAGAAATATATTGTTTTTTAAAGAAATATATTGTTTTTAAGACCTGTCAAGTTGGTTTCAACCCAAAGTGGCCAGTGAAGGGTTTCCATGGAACATCTAGTGATTTTTAACCGACCCTGCAGTTAGCAATCCAATGTGTATCCTTCAGCATAATGCCAGGAATCCTAGGTGTTGCATAAGTCTTTTCATGAATTTTGCTCAACTGTTAAACATTTCTACTCCCATTTACATAAAATACTAAAGTTATTTTTAGAAATTATTGTCAAGAAACCTCTCATTTACACTGCTACCTAGGAGCTTAATTTGAGTCTTTCTATTTACTTGAATCCATGGGACATAATCTATGGATACAATTGTTAGGATGATAAAATTAAGGATGGATAAAAAATTTTTCTCTTTTCTCTTTTGGAATTAGACGATCTAATAATACAACTGTAGCATCAAAAGTAAGCTGCAGGTGATGGTGGTTGTTATGTGCTGTGGAGTCAGTTCCTACTCATAATGACCCTGTATAGGGTTTCCGAGGCTGTAAATCTTTACGGAAGCAGAAAGACGCATCTTTCTCCCACAGAACAGCTGGTAGTTTCAAACTACTGAACTTGAGGATAGCAGCCCAACTCATAACCACTACACGATATTGTTGTTGTTGTTATGTGCCATGGAGTCCGTTCCGACTCATAGCGACCCTGTACAGGGTTTCCAAGGCTGTAAATCTTTACGGGAGCAGAACACCTCATCTTTCTCCCGCAGAGCAGCTGGTAGTTTCGAACTGCTGACCTTGTGGTTGGCAGCCCGATTCGTAACCACTACGCTACCATTACTACACAATATAGGAAGTTTTAATGGCTAAGGTACCTAAAAGACACAATGGAAAAATAGTCTCCTAGATTAAAGCACAACTTATAAATTTTGATGGCTCCTTTGCTATTGTTGTTGATGTTGTTGTTAGGTGCCATTGAGTTGGTACCGACCAATAGCAACCTTATGCACAGCAGAACAAAACCCTGCCCAATCCTGGACCATCCTCACTACTGTTGCCACGCTTGAGTCCTAGACAATAATAAAAAATTCTTTAGTAGACAGGCAAGCATCACAACAAAAGAGAAAGGATACAGAAAGTGGTTTAAAGACACAGTCCCAGAGTCAGATAGATTGGGTTCAAATCTTTTGTGACAGGAATTACCCGTGGACAAACTACATTAAACTCTCTGCAGCCTAGTTTCCTCACTAATATGCAGCCAGTTCTGATGATATTTTCATTTTGATCAGCAGGTACCCATGTCATAATGGCATTAATAAATGGCAGCTATCATTATTATCCCTAAATGTTCAAAATAAAATATAAGCAAATGAATACATTTTTAATACTAAAAGTAATTACCCTTCTATTACACACTAAAAAGGAGCTCTGGTAGCATAGTGGATTACAAGCTGAGCTGCTAATCAAAAGATTAGCAATTCTATACACGCTCTGAATGGTGACCACGTTTGTTACTGATAAGGGGAAGTGAGGGAAAAACAGCATTGAAGCTGCAAGGTAAGCCCTACAACATTCAATAGACTCCTGTGAACCCAGGTGGAGACCTGGTTGACCAGCATTGTGGCAAGACCTGGGGACTTATGACCATCAGAAGAGAAGAGCATGTAAGTAATGAGGGA